GAGTAGGGAAATTGGTAAAGAGATGAAGCCAGAAACACCGAAGGAAACTCAGAAACCAACAGAAACAGAAGCTTCATCGTCCACTAATCAGTCATAGAAATATGATTGATATTTCCCATAAATGACAGAATTTTACAACACAGCAAGGACTGAGTCAGCATCTTCTGTATATACTGTATATTCCCACCTTTACAAAAATGCTGTTGTAAAACTAGCCTTACAAAATGTACTGATAAATTAGCAATTTTTGAACAACTGTGAATGAAAATACTCAAATAGATAAAAGGCAAGAACATACTGGACTTTCACTTGCTGCATTTTGTGCATAATGTTTTTCTTATAAAAATTCACAGCGTTACCTGTACTGAAATTTTGTTTTTCTACTTGCATCTTTATCTTAAAATTTCCATTTACAGTACAGAAATGGAAAAAGTCTAAGAAGAGCATATTGCTTTTTAAGATTATAAAGTTATGTTTTCCAGTAACTTGAATTGTAATTTTATAAGAGAATTTAATCCAGACCTTAGGAGCCATACTTTACATCTCATTTACATGATATTTTGGTGTCAAAAGTTGTTCCTACAGCACACGCTTTAAAAAAATGGAGTCCAATGTTGCCATCTTGTTTATTTTACAACGGAAGAGTCGTGTGTATTTAGGAAAAGGCTGCAGAAGAACAGTGTTAATAATTACTTGTGACTGATGGAGGATTTGAAAACGGAATGTTATAAGCTTAAAGTGCACTATCTTCCTTTTTATATACAGATATTTTGTGTTTTGGAATCCATCTGTTAAGTGTACAGCAAAGATACTAGTCGTACTCAGTTTTTTCACGAGGCTGAGGGGTTTTAAATGTTGCATTTTTACAAACCTGTAATTAAAGAACAGACAAGAGTAGCACCTTTATAACCAGCAAAACTTATAAAAACATCAGACATTTATTTGAAAAAGGCTAAGACTATAAATGAATTGGTATACCAAAGGAAAGAAGAAGTTGGTTAAATAGGCCACTAAATCTGTTACTTCAATTGAATCGATTTAGTGGAGCATTTTTTTGGTTTTGTTGTGTTTTGTTTTTGCAGAATTTTGCCATAGACTTAAGAAATGTCCCCATTTCATTGTATTTTTCATTCAAAAAGTGTTTTGCTCCTGGAAAAAAAAGTGTCACTGTTTTTTTGTTAGACCCTACTTAGTCTGGTAGTGTACATAAAACTTTCCACTGAAAAAGGTATAACTGCATTAAGCTTGAAAAGAAGAGTGGTGGTACTTCATGTTGTGTTTCAAGAGGGAAGTTTTTCACTGTGAAATACATTACATCGCTACTTTTCATGTATTCTTCAAGTACGTAATTCTAAAGTATGAAATTTGTTTGACCATGTAAATTAACAGTTGGGTAAATATTTTCATATTTTTATAAAAGAGTTTTGGAAATGTAAAATTAGATTCCTATAAACATTTGCATCTTGAAGACTACATTACAAGTAGCATGTATGCCATGTATCTCACTACAGATTTTACAGTTCCTATTGGTGCATCTTTGAAGTCCTTACACATCAAGGATTTGCTGGTTGAAATAGTCATCTGTATTCTGAACCTGTAGACAAAATGTTAAAATGCAGAGAGGTGGTATTAAATGCAAACATCTACTATGGTGTAAGATTTTTTTCTTAACGAGATGTTTCTAATTTAAAGACATACATAAAAGTATGCAAAAACTAAGTGTGTTTGTTTAGGTTTACTTGATAGAAATTTCTGTAAATTGTATTTTATATGGCAAAATATATCACTGTACATTAAAATATGGGACTTCACAGGTTTTTGTTACTGTAAGTAGAATAAACATCTACAGAGAACTGTTGTCCATTTCTTAAACCTGTATGTGTATATTTTTTTTTAAATATTGCTACATCTGAACAAACCACAAGAGTCTCATGACACACAGCTTTCACTTCCTCATTGTTTAACGAAAGAAGATGTTTTGCAGGACATCACTACCAATCAATGTTTCATTGTACGCATTCTAAAAAGCATATGAAAATCTGTGCTTATCATTTTTCTCTCAGTTCTAATTTATTCTGAAGGGTTTTTTTTATTTGAATTAGGAAGTTTGTAGATTTTACACCAAAAAAAAATCTAAAGAAAAGAGAAAATACTAATTAATTTAGGTCAGCTTTGAACTTAAGAAAAACTCAGTTCACACCACTTATGAATTCCTTGACTTCACATTGTTACGAAATAGATGTGCGGCTTTTCATCTTCTAGGAAACACTCCTTTATCACAGATCAGTTTGGGGAATCTGATCACGATTTAGGAACAGTAAATGCATCCTCCCACAGAGGTTGTGGCAAAAAACCCAACAGCAAACAGACAGACACTAATGACTTATTTTTTTAAACCACAGCTTTATATAGTTTATTATGACCTGGTCTTGGATTTTGTAGCAAGGTTCCTGTGTTCTACACTGCAGCAGACAGTAAAAGCTAAGCTGAAAAGATCATAACAATTTAACTCCATTTAGAGACTAAAAATGGTACTGAATTGTTATCGTGCATTGCAAGAACGAGAAAAATAAATTCTCTGGCTTTGTTCAAACTTCTGATTAACATGAAACAACCTACTATTTTGAGCATTTATCTATGTTTGTACTAAGCTAAATTAACTTTCCAATTTTTTACGTAAAAGCCTCTGAAAAGTCTAGAACAATATAAGCAGAAAGAATATTACATCTATAAAAGACTGTAATATTCCTTTTTGCATTCTGAAGGAGAGCATGCAGAAGGATTAGAGGAGGAGGGAAGTGTGTATTGAGTCCAATGTGCACAAACCCGCTTTTAAAATTTCTGCTTTTGTTTCTAGAGGAAAGTGACCAGTGTAACTTTCAGACTTTGGCTACACCTCATATAATATGGCACACTTCGACATGGAAAATGTCTGTGCATGCTACCTTGAGTGAACATGCACATCATTAAAGAATGCAGTAAACATTTTATTTTTTTAACCTCCTGAAGGGAATGAAGATTTCATAAAAGTATTGAAATTTTTTTATTATTGTATTCTGTTTATGAGCTAGAGTAGCATTTTTTTTTGTGCCTTTCACGCTCTGGCTTGTTTCTAGAATGCATCTTCGTAATAGGCATCTGTTTTTAATACTAAAATGCATAACCAGTAGCAGATACGTAATAGAGACCTACCAACAAACTGCTCATGATCGCGAGATGCCTGTTTGTGGAGAGAGTGATTCTGTGTGGATGCATTCAGATGGTCTCTGAGCGGAAGACCTAGCATCCAAGCTCATTTACATGAAAACATGATAATACCACTTTACAAGTCCAGAAAAACTGAAATTTTTTAAGGGGCTTTGGATTAACTTTCTATCAAAGAACACGTTTTAAACACTGGCAAACTACTAAAGTGTTTATAATTTAGTAGCTTCATCTTACAATAGGAAATCCAGGGCTACGGACTCCACTGTAGCTGTGTATTGGATGTAGCCTCCTGCCTCCAGTGCTTCACAGCAGCATTCTTGGGGGGGGGGGGGGGGGGGGAACACAG